CCCGGCAGAGCTGCTGCAGGAAGGAAATTCCCCCAGCAGAGACGGCCATCGGCGCGAGGGCTCAGCTGTGTCAAGTTCAGGGGACTTCATAAATAACTCGGCCGTCCCCAGGGAGTCATTGCTAAGGTCGCTATTTTTTCCCTTGAACTTTCCAGATGAAGGAAGCAATAGCAGAAGCAATGGCACAGATTTGGCCGGAGATCAACTGTACTGACAACAGTCAAAGAATTTAACTCCGAAGAGAAGTCCTTTGTGCTCGCTGGAGTTATCACCAGACGGGTCGAGCAGTTCAAGCAGCAGCGCGGCGAGCTGCTCGAGAAACACTCCACACGCGCAAAGCAACCGAGCCGAAACTCGCCGGCAGACACAGCCCCCGGCAACCGGCTCCACCGTTCAGACCGAGCTAAAAATGCAGGGCACGCGCTAAGGGCCCATTAAAAATTAAAATGTTAAATTGTATTCTTCAACAAACTGCTGGGATTCGGAGTAAGAAACAGCCCTGATTAAAGCTTAAGGACGGAGAGCCTATAAAACACTAATTACCGCTGTACTTACAGTGAATTTGGCCTGTTGGGTTTAATTACTTCTAGTTCAAGATCACTTGAGTTCAGGCTGGGCTGGGGAGCGCTGTTGGAGTTGAGGACGCTGTTTGCGTTTGAAGAGATGACGGATTCCAGGCTGGAGTTGATGATACTGTTCCTGTTCTCCTCTAAAAAACACCAAAACCCAAGCATCATCAGCCACGGCACACGGCAGCCGCTGCGGACACAAGCAAAGAGCACAGCGCTGCGCTCCCCGTGACCACCCCTGCGCCAGCGCACCCGGGCAGCATCCCACCAGCGCCCAGAAGACGGGCACTCCGCAGTCACGTTTTTGAGATATTACACATTCAGCTATCAGGAATATCAGGCACTTTTCTTTCTTTAACATGCAGCTACATCTTACATTAACACCTTTTTCATTTTTCTCAAGGCATTAATATTTCGTGTTCCCAAAGACACGCGAAGTACCACACAACCTGCAAAAAAATGAAAATGCAAACCACATCCAGGGACGGATTTCTCTGCGACTGAACTCACCTGCCAAGGGCCCGAGCACTTGCGTGAGAGAGCAGGGTACCATTTTAGAACAAGAAAAGGACAGATCACCCAGTTGAAGTTTATCTCAGCAAAAAACGCTGCAGCCTAGGACCTGGTGTCAACTCCTATCAAGCTCTCCTGGCCAGGTCCACAAGGACAGA